CAAGAAACGTGCCGTGGAGATACTTTATAATGTAGCACTACATCCTTTGTAACGTAACATGCCCGTATAGGTACATTTAATGATAGGAAAGCGGGCGAGTGCGATCTCTGAAGACAAGGACTGGTAGCGCACCAGCGCTGAGGACGTTTTCCCGACTATTAGCCCCGGAAAAATTATCCCTATGGACCTTTCCCCCGAGCATCGACTTCCTTGTTTTTTTCTAGACATTGGCCAATCAGAAAGATGCAAAAAGTGAGGTAACAATGCCCCCTTTTCGCATCCGCCCAGACACTTTTGTCACTCGGACAGATTTTCAGGCGTGGTTGTGAACATTACCTCGTTTTCGCGTTTTTGATCTCTCTTCGTCCCCATTTTAAAGGGCCAACTCGCGAAACCACTCATAAAGTAAGTCCCGGCAATTTTGCAATGGTAAAGCATAAGAAGATTTTTTCGGGGGACAATGGTCGGGGAAAGTAAAATTTATGTTTATTCTGAGAGTGTTTTGATGTGTTGGCGCTTATAAAATGGTTTACGTGTTTGAAACCATCCATTTTATTGAAATTAACCAACCATGTGTCGATTGCATGTACTGATACAACTAAGTCTAGCTTTGTCCATCGCAGCATTTGCGAGATTCAGTTTTGATTACTGCAACTAAAGTAAAGCTACGCGAAAGACGAACGGACAATTAAGTTAATTAATTCACAATTATTTTCATGAAAAACTACTGAAAACTGGCAAATATCACTCAAAACTACAAAAACTAGGAAATGTTTGCAACCATGCTTGGATATCTGTTTGAGGAGCTGGGTGCAGAAATTGTATTTGTTACGTGTTACGTCGTTATTGACTTACTGCTGATTGGTTATGATTACGGAAATAAACAAGGAAACTGATCCTTGGAGGAACATCCATAAACGCTGTTCAGCGAATACATACAGTAAGGAAGATAAAGCGTTGTCGTCGTATTTTAGCCATATGAAAGGTTAATTGTTGCAATAATTCAAATCGGCTCACGTACCACTTGAAAAGCTCACGTATACCACCAGTAGTACGCGTACCACAGGTTGAGGACCGTTGATCTAACCCTAACCTGGTACACATACTACGGGAGTACCCATTTAACCTATGTTTTGGCAAAGGCCTTTTATCGTAATTCTCAGAATGAGATTGTTCTAAAGAAATGGTCCGTGATGTAAAAGTCGGTGGTTGGATCGCATAATTGATCGTGCCAGTTCATAACAGTGGATTTCACTGTTATTGCAGACGAATTTGACCTGCAAAGTAAGCATATGTTTTGAGTTTTGAGCTCGGGATGATATAGCCCAGTGCGCCAGTTCAGTATCTGTACCTTTAGATTGGACACAATGAGATATAAATTTGAAACATAAACCAAATTATCAATCGCAAAGTGATTGAATTGAGCGGTAATACGATTTTATCGAGGCCATTCTTTATTATTTTCAGTCAGCTAAGTCCATCACAACAAGTCTCAAATGATGTATAACGTCGTAAAAGTGGCGTGGCTAGGGTGTGGCTATTGCTGCCAGCAACTTTGAATTTAAGATCACACTATACAGGATTCAATTAAATTGTATAACACCGCATTCAATACCGCACAATAGAAAAGCGTATCACGGATTAAATAATTGCAAATCAATATTTCCGGGTTCAATGAATCTTCCTGCAATCTTTGATCCTTGACCTCACTTACAGTGAAAAGTAATTTTTAGCTGACCTCTAATCGGTGTATTAGGAACTAGCGTGAATTTCTTGCATGCAAAATTTAGCCTCGATTTAAACATATCCGAGGTTGAGCGCCCGGGCCTTATTTTAGTGAGCGGCAGTGCAGCGTTTCTCAAAATGTGTTCCATGGAAGAGAAATAGAAATTGCGACTAAATTGGCCGCCATGGCGATCTTGGTCGTAGTTCGGCGCCTCTGGGTCGTAATTTTGTCTCTTAATTAGCAACAAACAGGCCCTGTACGTAAACATGCGGACAGTAATTGTGCCAGTCTGGAAAACATGGCGTTTCCGTCAAACGTTTAATGTCGTTAACCGTCGGCCTAATTCTTTAATTGTCAAGTTTACAGCAAAATTTTTCAACTTTACTATAGGCTTATTTTTGGGCAACAACCCTTCTCAATGAATTGTTGGCTTAAAACTGGAAGCCTCAAAAGATATCACGATAAGCCTGTTGTGCAAGTTGACGCACAAAAAGTGAATCCATTATACAATTCTTTTGTTATCAATTTTACCTTCAATTCATGAAGCCGTAAACGAAGTAGCAATGGACAATGGTGACGCGACGAAAGGAATTTCGGGATTTTAGTTCATTTCTTGCGGATAAGATCTGTATAGTGTCCAAAATGACGTCACATAACTGGCGTAGCGAGGATGTGTCAAACATGGCTAGTACCATTGGATAGAGGAGGGAATTTTTGCTGCAACTTATAGATGCAATTGAATTGTAAGCGATAATGCTCAACAAGGAAATGACGGTTGTGAAACTACAAATCAATAGAACGGGAACATAATAATGATAATGTTTGATAAAAATAGAAGCTGAGAGAAAGTATGAACGATATGTCTCGGTAGAATAAAAGTTCACTTTTCTGGTTCAATGAAACTTTCAACAATCTTTGATCAATGGAAGACGTCACTAACGGTGAAACGTCGGTACTCCCGAAGTATGTGAACCACGATGGCAGACACCGGAACGTAGAGTGTGTACCAGGTCAGACCATAATTCCATGTACAAATACTACGGGAGTCACTTGGCTAGTCCCGAAATTCCTAACAGAACTAAAATAAGAAAAATTTGAGTATAATTATGCCATATTAGTTTACATACTTCGGGTGTACCGAAACATTACTCTCTTAGGCGACCTCTAACCTATGTCAGATTTTCAGATTGGGCCCACAGTAGTTCAGAAAAAATAATTATAGCCTTCTGCGGCACAATTTCATCCTGGACTATTGAAAGCAATTGGTTCAGTGGTCGAAAGATAAAAGCGGGTGCTGCTCGCATGGCAGCCCAATAGCCCTATACGACGGAGCGATATTCAAGTGGAAATTGGGTGGGGCCATTTATCTAACTCTATTTCGAACCTTCTGTCTATATGGAGCACAATATCCCTTTGCCGAGTCATTCAAATACCGATTGGGACCGTCCATATTCCTAACCTGCTGTATTTAAGGCAGCACAATAGCCCTGTATGAATGAGATATTTGAATGGCGATTAAAACCATATATATCAAAACACCATTCGCGAGTGTTTTTGCGAAACCACAACCCCATATCGTACAAACTCTATGTTTTCTTGGGGGGGGGGGAGGTTGTTGATGAAAATGATGGCTTTGATTGTTGGATTTCGTTCTAAATTTTTTCGATAGCAAAATGCGTAATCAACATTCCAAAATAACTTTTCATTGTTTCGTTTATTCTAATTTCTAACAATATGAGATCAATTGTAACTTGCTCAGAAGGATTCAAGTTTGATACCCACTGAGACATTCATATACGGAAATTTAATAATGGAATTCCAAACTTCCAAGTTTTCATCAGAAAGTCATTCGTATAATCGCTTAAATTAGCAAATAATACAATCTCCATCATGGCTATGCTTACTCTGTTACAGTTAGCCATCTAGCAAAAAAAAAAGATTCTACGCAAGCGTTGTTGTGGAATACGGGCGTATTATTGTCCCAACTCCCAAGTGTCCCAGAGTCCTAAGTGACGTCACATAACTGGCGTAACGAGGGTGTGTCAAACACGGCTCGTACCATTGCGCAACTTTGAATGTTGCGGAAAATTTTGCTGCAGCTTATGAATGCAATTGAATCGTAAGCGATAAGGCGCAACAATACAAGGAAATGACGGTTGTGAAAATCAATGGGGCGGTGATAGAAGAATAAGAACGTTGAATGAAAATAGAAGCTTAGAAACCAAAGGCTGTTTCTCGTTTTTGTAAGATATGCAGAATGGGCATTCATTACACCAACAAGTACTGTACAGTCTTAGTTTTACACAGCTCGTTAGCATGTGAATGTCAGATACAAGAAGATTCTTTAAAAATAAAAGCAATGGTAGAAAATTTTAAAGATTTGTTTTAGTAAAAGAAAAGGGTTGAGATTTAGTTGTAATTGATATAAACATAAAATTAAAGTTGACGTCAATTTAATTCGGCCACTCCGAAAGAAAATTTTTAAAACTTGAATCTGCTTCATGCGTCCTCGAATTGCCTAATCTATGATTTCAATCTGACGCGCGAAAATACGTTAATCAATTTCAATCTGGTCTCCGTAAAAATAATTTCAGCGATCACTCGCAAGCTCAAGTCGGATGCGCGAATATAGTCATTAGATCACAAATCACGATAAAATAATAATTAAACTGATTTAATGCGGGGAACTAAAGCTTGTCATCGAGCAACGAGACCCGAGGTCCTAATACCTAATTGAAAACTTTGGAATTTTAGAGTAATGATCTAACTTTGTAATGGAAAGTATATAAATTAAGGTAGATTTTTTCATTCTTTTTCCGGAGAATTGGAAGTCGTTGAGACGTTTATTTGTATGGTGCGCCTTCAAGCGCGACGAGAAGTAATGCAGTATACTTTTGCCTGTGCCTAAAAGGACGCACCATTTTTCCGTTTCCGTGGTCGTTATGGATCGCTTGTGCAAAGCACAAGCCAGCGCTCAAACTCAAAATAAGAAAATTAGTAATTATCTGGTTAGGGTTAGTAACGTAGATTGTGTTGGAAATTCATAATTTTTAAATCATTTCTAACCCGAACTGAATAATTACAAATTTTTGGAGGAGATGTTTTCCTCAAATATGAAATAGATGCATTAGTGGCGGGATTGGTACATAGGATCCTACGTTCATGTATGATACTTTCTACATTCACTATGACCCGTATAAGAGTACTTTACCTTGCGCTAAGTCGTTGCCAACCTCTAAAAATTCCCTACTTCTTTCCTTCAGAATCTTAAGGTTAGATCTTATTTATATTATATAAGATTGGAATTGTGCTAATTCGTAAAATGGCTGGAGGAGGATCTCAACCACCAGTTATTAATGTTCAACTCCCAGCTATCACCGTGAACTATCAGGAAGGGACGAGATTTGCTGGAGACAATGTCGGGTAAGGCAATAGATATATTTGATGGCGCTCCGGAAGTATGTGTACCAAAATGACGCACAATCTGAACCCTAACCTGGTACACATACTATGTTCAGGTTGCGTCATATTGCTACACATACTTCGGAAGCACCTATTTTATAGCATTAGTACTTGATCAGAGATGCCAAGTTGGATAAAATACTGATAAAAAATATAAATAAAATAGTGAGCTGTTTCGATATATTCACGCATTACTCCAATCTATTCAATTCGGCTTCAATAACAGGAAATAAATACTCCGGCTCCATAGCCCTGGTGTTGGGTTTGATTCACCTACTTTGCTATCACATGTAGATGAGCCGCCCATCACATTGGTTTGTTCTATTTCCAGGCAGAAGACTAAAATCCAGGCCGCAGAAATTGGTCAGATCGTCGTCCCAACACAAGGTATTTACTTAACTTAGATATTGTTTCTCATATTCTCAGCGGTAGTGGGATTCTGTTGAATTAATAATCTCATTCCTCATCTGATATGTCAATATTAAGTGCAACAAACATAGGATATCCGTTTTCCAGCTTAATAAGTGTGAGTGACTAACTTAAGTTTAAACTCTTAAGAAGCTGAGATAACTGACGACCAGTCAGTGGTTTATTTGTACACATGCTGAAAATTAGGGCTGGGCATTTCGAATCGAATAGTAAATTATTCGAATCGGTTCAGACTGGAATTTCGAATCGCCGCCATCTTGTTTTTATCTTTCCGCAAATGGTCGAGGGCAATGTTCCCTCTAATTTTTCGTAGTATGTGTGCGCAGAAATTTTGGTGTGTGCGCACTTTTTTGGAAATGACTAATATTTGTGCAAAAACCAATGGAGAAATTTTGGCGTTCTAACCGGGTAATGGGTGGGCCAACAACAAACTTTCTCAACCTGCCAACCGAGAACATTGTTACATTACATCGAAATACGTCTGTGCGCAGTAAATCTATGCGTGTGCGCAGCCCCTGAAAGCTGTGTGCGCGCGCACACGCGCACACCTTAGAGGGAACACTGGTCGAGGGGAATTCCCCAATTCTTCATTGAAGTCATATTTTTTCAACGAAATTCTAACATATGACTATTTTCTGTAGTGAGTTATTGATAAAACGTGTTTGTTATTCTGTGGGAACGCTCAGTAATCTATCTGAGTGATTTATTCTATGTCTTCAGTAATTCATTTGTTGAGAGGACCAATCACTATGATGAAGTCGCTTACAATTTTATATTTTCAAGTATTCGAGATTCGATTCGAAAAAATTATTCGATTCGATTCTGAAATCACAAGGTATTCGAAAATGCCCAGCCCTACTGAAAATAGACATTGTACATAGAGAATAATGGAAGATTAAAAAATGCATCTCAGTGTGGAAGGAGGCGCGACAAACCAGCAATGGTTATCAAGCAGCGTCACCTATAAGGAAGTCATATTATGAGGAAAAATTGATTGAAATATTTTGCTTTTCGCAGGATCAAACGTTCAGACACCAACTCGTCCTTCCCCTCGTGACGTCACTGATAATCTTGAGAAAATGAATCTGGCCGGAGGGATGCATTTCGTTACATACGGTGAGCAGGTTTAACATGGACATAACATACTTCTGCTGACAGAGTAATACTCTCTGAAAAAGGCCTTAAACAAGCAGTCATTCATATATACAGAGATATGAATCGTGAATAATAATGTTACACTAAGGGGATCACTTCTAAGATTTACCTAGACATTATCAATACTTTACGCGGTGTTGCATATTTCAAACCATAGTTACAGTATTGCTGATTATATTAGTAAGATTTTATGTGTGACAATCCAGCACACCAGGGCTCGAAGCAGAAGATAACATATTGACAACAATAGGACGAGTCAAACTGTAGTATTGATTTTCATAAGTTTAACCAAATCTTTGTCTTTTCAGAGAATATAAGACGATTGATTCACCAATCCAAGTTCGTGGACGCGCTGATTACTTTGCAAGATATTCCGACTTCTCAAGAACAACAATTCATGTTGTCAGAATGCTACTGTCAACTTGGAAGAGCGGATAAAGCATTGAGGTGCATTGAAGCGTTACAAACAATGATGACGTCATCAACAAGACTTAGTGTTGATGACATAATCAAATTAGTTGATAATTACGTTTCTGATTCGTTCTATATTCGTGCATTGATTTTACTTTCTTGTTGTGCTAAGTTGTATAAGTTCGATTGGAACCCGAATATTTCGGTTGTTGGAATTCAATTTTGCTCATGGAAATGCAGCAACGTCATCAAAAAGATGGTTGGAAAGGGGGATAAAATGAAAGTGATTGCGAGAGATGTTGGTTTGAAAATAATCACTGATATGTTGAGAGAACTGAGATCAGTATCAGGAGCTGATAAGAATAAAAAGGCTGTTATGGGGGCTGCATGCTCGAAATATATTGGGTATAGTTACCAAATAGTTGGTGATTATAAAGAAGCTATCGGGTTTTATAATGAAGGTTTGAATTCAATGAATCAAACGTTTGGTTCGAACGCTGCAAAATCTAGCGTGTTTGGGGATTTATTACACGACATTGGTTCAGCGCATTATAATCTCGGTGATTATTCCAAGGCTGAATCGTTTTATTCACAATCTCTGGATGCGAAAAGAAAAGTTGAGGATTGGCCTAGTGATAAGGTGAAACAGGGAAGTATAGAAATGACAGAGAAAAACTTAGAAATTACGCGAAACAAGATGAAAAAGTGATTCTGTGTCTTGAATCAACCTTGTAGTTGGGGACGCCATCATTCTATGTTTTATAAAATATTTTTGGAGTTTCTAAAATTAATGACAAAAGAGTTTTTTTTCTAAAATTCTATTCAACAAATCACTTCGAATTTTCTGAGGTACATTGATCAGCAAAAATAATTATATCAACAAACTCTGTTTCATGGAAATCAATACCAATTACCAAGTTCATAACATATTCGAAAAAAATTAAAATAAAACCTTCAAACTTCTCTTTAGATCCCAAATATATTCTTCATAAAACTCCCAAATTATCTTTCATCCAACTCTTTTATCTCCCACAAACTTAGTTGATTAGAAGTTTGAATCAAGTTAGATGCAGATTAATAAATAAAAATCACAAATTTCCGCTCATTCATAAAAATATTTCATTCCCATTCATGGTGATCATATCTTAACAATGTATAAACAAGAATATCGGTCGGAGACCGAAGACTTATCGATCGAAAGTTAGGGGATCCCCCATTCATTCACTCTGACTCTATAATGACACCGCGTGTCCCATCACTAATTAATTAGTAACTCGCTAATTATACGACATAATTCATCCAAAATCAATAGGCTCCTGGTCCGAGCTATGATGAATGCACATGCAATTTGGGGCAGATTCTACCTCGCTTTCGTGAGATATTGCGTGCATCTAACAGACAGACAGACAAATACCTATCAACATACTTACCGATCTAAGTAATAACTGTTGATTTGAGTACTGTATATATTTCTTGTGCATTGTAGCGAATCGCCCAATTTATTTCATGTGATTGCTTTGAATATAACTTTGTTTCGCTGCAAAATTTCCAGTCAAGTTCCCAGAATTATTCAGTCAAATGACAAGATTTGTTCGTCTACCCTTTGGCAAATTCTCTTCAAAAATCGTGGATTTATGTACTTTTAGGAAAACGCATCGAATTACTGACATTTCATAGTTAATTCTCATCAAATTTTCATCGACTCATTCAAAGCATGAAATGTGACATTTGACAGGCAAAGTCTTGGTTTCAAACCTTCTTACAAATTATACTGATTGTATTAATCGCTCCATTTGATATCGATACCCAAGTACAAGCTTGCCTGTGATTGATCCTAATTCACCTGACAAATGACCGACAACCCATGTCCAGCAATGTATATTGATTGTATTGTAATAAAATGCATTAAATTTAATGTTATTTCAAGGTAATTCAAGTTGGTTACTGTAATTTTACTTTAATTCGTTGACTGATTTTATGATTTTTACCAGTCATTTTACTTTAGTTTAAATAAGAGCAACTATAGCGTGGTAATGTAACTGTTATTGTATATTTATTCAAGTCAGTTACTGATATTTTACTTTGATTCATTGAGTGTTTTCATTATTTTGCAGTGATTGAATAAATATAATCAATTCTATTGATCGAGTGGTTTCTTAGTTTGTCGGAATTTGTCAGAAACAATCTTCATTGACGAATGTCGCCTACCCATATATTGCCCAGATTGTAAGGAATTGGGTGAAATGTAGGAAGGATTAGAGCCAGTGATCCCTGTGTACAGGTGCTTGTCTAGTGCTTTGTTTGGAGCAAAGACATAGGAAGTGCCATGTAAATGCGGGTAGATCACTGAATATATTCGCCTGTTATAACCTATTAAAAACAATAAAGCATGCACACTCATAATTTATTGAGTGACATGTGCTCGGTGGCCAGTAAAAGATTTGTAACCAATGAATTCAGGGTTGCCATCGACCTAGAGTCGAAAATAAGCACGGGTGTCTAAAGTTTACTTTGGGGGATACTTAACAACGGCAGAAAGGCAGATTGAAAATGAGAAAGGAATCATACACAAGTCTCTTCCGCACTCCAACTTTTTATTATTAGAAGTCGAACAAGGTTGCATGCAGCCCCGAAATCGCGCAAGGCCATGTAAAACCATTAAATAACGTCGTTTCTACGGAAGCTTTGTACGCAAAACATAAACAGGTCATCTATGCTTCTAAGACAAAATGAGCACGTAACTCAAAAATAATCACAAATCTTAAAAATAAGCACGGTATGGCAATGATTCAGACTTTAAGGGAAAGTGGCCTTATCCAAAAATCTAATTCCTTTGTCCTAAAACTTCAATAGGGGTGAACGATATATCTGCATTAATAACTCACCTTGTGACGTCATACATGCTTGGTCATACAGCACAGTATCAAATCTGCTTTCGATGTTCATAGTCGAACATGCTTGGCCTATGAATAAGTAGAATTCATAAATACAAGCCATACATAGCAGGCCGTCAAACTATACATCACACTGTAAGTCTGAATTAAAAGGATTTACATGGAGATTGAAGTAAAAAATACTGCCACGTATTAATGTAAATGCCCTTGAAGTCCATATAAGTTTCAAACTTTTCATCTTTGAAGTGTAAATCCAAATAATCCATACCTAACCACTGATCAGCATTGGCACTTCCTGGACCAATTAATTGCCACCTTGTCTAAGTTCAAATTTTGTATTCCAAGATTGTAAAGTCAACTCGACCTCATTTAACTCTAGGTTCAGCTTAACTACTGTCATTCCGTGCAATCCAAAACTTCCATTTCAATATTGTGAATTACAAATTGCCATTCCTGGTACCATCCTGTTATTGCCCCACCAATAATCATTAGATTTGTTTTCCTTGATTACGTCATCTTTGTTCAGGTTGGGGTAAGTCAGACTTATTGAATTCTGTCTGCCATTAGTATAGCAACTCATTGGCCTCATATCTAAGCCAATTAAGGCCAGAGATCTGCAACAGGGGCGTAGCCAGAAATTTTCAAAGGGGGGGGGGGTTGAAATTTTTTTTTTGCTAAGTTAGATCGAAACTGCTTGCGGGTCCGATCGAACGCTCGAATACGCGTGTTTTCATTAGTCTTGGGGGTCTAAAAAGCGTTTCAAGCTACATAAAATTGATTATATTTTTTGGCCCCTGGCTACGCCATTGATCTGCAATATCCAAAACACAACCTCATCCTATCTCAACGTGATTCCACACTGACAACAACCATAAACAACAACCCACTGAGCTGTTTTAGAATAATATAACGCATGAATGATTTCTACCCACGTGACCTCCGCTCTCGCAAAACTATTCATTACGTTCAACATTGTTAATGCGCATTCCTCACCCTCGCTGTTCTGATAATAACTTAGACCTGACATGGGCAAATTAAGGCCCGCGGACCAAATCCGGCCGGTTTGCCCGACCCGTTGGGTAATTCAATCTGACCCGTCTTATGTCGCCACAACTAAACTAAAATTTTGATGCTTTAGCTATAAAAGACATTGATTAGTGAATTTGTTGAGATTGCGATTACATTTAGTTTTGGCATGAGACTAATTGTTTTCCACTTTTGCTTTTGTAAACATTGATAATAAAATGTAACTTTTCACGTCACACTTAAATGGCCCTTGAGTCTAGGGGGCGGAAATTTTGCCTCAGTTCCAAAAACCTTGCCCATCCGTGCCTTACTCACCATTCAAATAACATATTTACCTTTTCTCTGTTGCCAATAAGTTGGAATTTTACTCAACTGCCACATTTCGGAGTATTTGCGGCTCCACATTTACGAGCAAGAACACGCGTATCAAGCTATACTTTATATACAGTAGTAAATGTCGTAAACTTTCCCCGCATTTCGAAGATAAGTTACTCTCCTAAAATATTCGACGGATAGGGCCAAGCATGAACAGGTGTTGCATCGTTGCGTGACTCTATAATCTGACCAAGCTTGGTACAATGAGTAAAATCTTTTCGCATTGGACTCGGAGTCTTTCTTCTATATGAACGAGCTTGCCTGGACAAACCAAGCCGTATCCGCGTACTTTCTTATGAGTTTTGTTGTATGAAGTATTTAATTCGACTTCCTATTTTATTTTTATTCATTCAATGTCTCTGCTCGATAGCTAGTATTTTTTCGCGTCTCTCTTCACCATAAAATGCCATTTTTACACTATTCTACAATATGTACGTTACGTACTTTCAGTATTGGTTAAAAGAGTAGATTGCTGGCTGACTAACTGCAAAATAGCAGAGACCTAGAAATACAGATAAACAGACCTGGAAGGTTTTTATAGTTCATGTTCACATGTGCGCAGTTTTCTTTTTTATTGTGAAACAGAGTTCGTTTGAAACTTTTTTATATCACGCCCTCCTCTACGAACAAAGAGCCACTGATATCTAACGACATGTAGAGAGTTTCTCACTATTTGCAAGAACCGCAATCTTTCCCGCTCCACATTGCCTACCCAATTTACACTCAGGGCCGGATTTAGACGATGAAGGATCCTTTTTGGACACGTTCAGTGGCCATAACGATCGTTTCAAAATTTTGTTGTTATTGATCCTTTCTTCCGTCATTATCATCAGGCTATTACTTTTTTTTTCGCTATGACGTCATCAAAATTATTGCCATTGGGTGCCGCTACGTGTCCATATATTTGAGCATAGCTCTCTTGTTAATAGTGACGCCATGAACAAAATGACGTCATTATTTGTCCCATGTTTGCGTAAAATGTATTATACCGCCATAAATGACTTTTATATTGCGTGCAATACGAAATTTAATCTATGGGATACCTACGCTAACCACTCAAGTATGTTGGATGGTAAGTTGTATTTAACAACACTTTAAAAATCGAAAGGCTGTCATAAAACGACATGTCATCAGAAAACCCGACGTCATAATACTCGTTTCTAATCGCAAGAGTTGGCGTGGTGGGGAGGGGTGTGTGTGGCCCAAATACTGATTAATATAGCATTACTAATAAATAAAGTTTTTTTTTGCATTTTTAAAATGAACAGCTCTACGATCGAAAAAGATCCGAAATATTGAAAAATATATTTCAATTTTAGATTCGTTGTTACCTAGATAAATTAGAACAGGGCTACTCAACTATTTTCATCAAAGGTCCGTTTAGAAAACTTCAAAATCACTGGGGTCCGTACCTTCCAGAAAATTTACTTCATTAAATAAACGAAACTTCAAATGCAATATTAAATGAAATACAAGAGCAATGAATGGCTCACAAATATGGACACAAATGTCGCACATCGGTAGCGGTGTATTTAAATAGCATCAAAATCATCTGAAACTATAAAACGATGCTTAAGCTGCCAAAATAGACAAGCAGACGCGGTCCACATTAAAAGGTCGAAAGGTTCGGATTCAGACCGCGGTCCGCCAGTTGAGTAGCCCTGAATTAGAATATATACATAGGGTGTTCATGAAGTCTTAAAACTTTTTAAATTGCAAAGGGAATTTATCGATACCACATATTGTTTCGGCCCTTACAGATATATTAAAAGAATTATAATATCTAAACAATTACTGGTTCAAAACAACAAACCTGGTTAAGTGACTCCATAACAAAATTGTGAAGAGACTTCAGGGAAACCCTTTATATCTATATTTTCAAAAATATGTAGGTATTAAATTTATCAAAAACCTGAATAAATGATCGTCCTAATGCACTTGAGATCATAAATGATCGCTTCAACAGGTATCTCCTAACTTTCCTGCCACAAATATAAATGAAGCACCTAACGCGTCCTCCGAAATTTAATGAGAGCATTAGAACTAATCGTATCGTTTCATGATAAACTCCATTCCCGAACTATCAAAGCAGACATTTTTAGGATAGAATAGAATTTACATATTCATCCCGAGGAAAGCTGATACAACGGCTTAATCATATGGAGAACCAGCGCAAATCGACCAAAGTTACCCTAGCAGACATCTCTCAGCAGACATCTCTCTCGTTTTTGAACGCGCCGATCACCGTTGCCAGAACCCAGATTTCAATTGAGCGATGCGAGAGTTTACGGAAACGGCATCGATGCAAAATCATCTGATGCTTTATGCGTTGCCAGATTAATCATAAAAACTGTGAATAATTTCCAAAAAAACAACAGTTCTCCCCAAATTATAAACGTCTTACAAATAAATCCGCTTAGTATAAGAAAGATAAGTATAAGTGCTTATAATAGGAAGTAAACACAACGAGTTTAACAAAGATTGTATAGGTGGAAGAGATACCCATTATCGTTTGAACCTGTCCCAGTCGTCAATGTTTAATAAAATTGGTAAAAAGACCTATTTTGCCCCAAAAAGATGTGATTTACAGTCATGTCCTCTCCATTTATACATAAACAGCAGTGGTACATTTAATAAAGTGTTTATACAACGAGTTTCAAAAAGTTTGTATGGGGGGAAGATATTTTTATTCTCGTTTAAACATGAACCGCTTGTCAATTTATGATAGAAATGGCAAAAAGACCTCTTTTGCTCCAAAAATGAGTGTCTTGCAATTACGGTCCCCACATTTACAAAAGACCAGTAGTAGTGCATATAATAAAGTGTTAATACAGCGAGT